ATTTTCATCGGACACTTGTCCAAAGGTAGGCAAAAGAGTATACCTGAAGTCCTAAAGCTCGCGATAAAGGCAGAGGCAGACGATTACAAGGACTTGGTGTGGAGAGGGATGAGGAGACGTGACTTCTCTCTCTACAAGGAGTACGCCACTAATAGATGTCCTGATTTCAAGGACTATCCCTGGTYGGAGAAGAATGAGGYYGTGGHWGAGGAAGTGAAGGAGATACGGGACATGGTGAAGGGATTGACGAGACAGGTTACAGAGATTGTGACCACTACAGGGGCCACGGCCTACCGGGACAAACCTGGAGGGCCCTATTCACTTCGCTGGGACCGTAGGAACAACGATTCCTGGAGGAGTGTCGAGAATAGAAATCCTCGGACGCTGACTGATTATCGTACGAGGGGAAGAGAGAGAGACGATGAGCCATGGCGACGTAGGGACGATGAGATAGACCGAGACCGCAGAGATCGCGAGCCGTTTGCGCGAGCAAGGAGGCTGGATGATTACCCGCGAAGCCCTCGCTATGAGGCCGATCGGGGTAGAGGCGACTCCCGCGGCCGATGGGAGACAGATCAGGGTCGACGAAATGGATACAGGGACGACAGATACGAGAGATCGGACCGAGATGGATATAGGGACGAAAGATACGAGAGATCGGACCGAGACGGATATAGGGACGACATATACGAGAGGTCGGGTCAAGATGGCTACAGAGGTGGTAGGTATGAAAGAGGAGATCGCAACTGGGAACGACGAGATGTGTCGCGCGGACGGTTTGAGCGCGGGGGAGATGCGAGAGAGCAGCGCGATGAGTCGCGATGGTGGTACAACCGAAGGGACCGACGCGATGAGTCACGAGGGCGATATGACTCAGGGGACCGCCGGAATGATTCGCGAGGGCGATATGAGCAAGGAGGGTCTGGAGGAGACCGCCGYAACGATTCGCGCGGTCGGAATGAGAGAGGGGGATATGGCGTCTCATCAGAATCATATCCCAAGTCGCCTAACCCCAAGGCAGCCAGGAGTTCGATCTCGAGAAGCGCACACGACAGGCCATCTACTCCCAGGAACTCATGCGTTTACTGTAGAGGAGAAGATCATATCAAGAGGGATTATCCGGACCTCAAACGGGCAATAGATGAGGGACTTGTCGTGCTTGACGACCTCAAGTACGTTAAGTGGGCAGATGGTCTGGGAGATGTATCGATGTTCCCTTTGATGAAGGAGAATGTCGAAGCGAGGAGAGTAAAGCCGAGTAAAAAAAAGAAGCCGGTCAGGAGCCAGAGCATCAAGATAACCTTTGACGAGGATATGGCGATTACACCCATAAGGGTGGCAGCCACCAAGTTGGCGAGAGGGTTTACATCGAAGAAGACTGACACGGATTACGTGATGACGGAGAAGGACGGGCAGCGGGTCGATGGAGAGGAGGTTATCCTTTCGCCGCGAAAAAGGGGAGTGAAGAAGTTCTTAATGAAGAGTTCGCTGGACGAGATTGACACGGTCGAGCCACTGAGGCGGGCCCTTCGGCAACCCATGCAGTGCTTTATTCTGGAGTACCTGGCGGCATCGAAGCCGGCTCGTGATGAGTTACAGATGATCACGCGGAAGACTCGCATACCTCTATTGGAGGAGGGTTAGGGGGCCCCTAAGGCGGAAGCTCCTAAAGTAGCAGTAACGGGGGTGACTACAAGAGCGGATCGCATGGCGACAGTCCTTCTCGATGGAATGAAAGGTGTGCCTCCAGACAAGTTTTATATACTTGGTAGCGAGGCCGTGGAGACGATTATAAACGATGGAGCGATACTTGATGCTGTGATCGATAACGGCAGTGAGGCTGTCATCATAGACGAGGACCTGGCAGTACAGGTTGCACTGGGCCTCGATAGGTCATACCTATTCGAGATAGAGACGGCTGATGAGAGAAAGCAACAGATCACTGGGGTTTGTCACAAGGCAGCCATAGAGGTCCAAGGGGTACGAGTGACTCTGCCTGTCTTTGCAGTCAAGAACTGCAGCTCCGACCTGCTCTTGGGTCGAACGTGGCTGAGCCACGTGCATGCGGTGACGATCGAGCGACCTGATGGGAGCCAAACATTGTCCATTAGGAAGCCAGACGGGACGCGGGTAATGATTGAGACAGTGGAGCCACGGGACCCGAGGAACAGAGCAACTCTCGCTGTGGGTGCGAGACCCGGTGAACAGATTAAGTCGTTACCTATCTCCGGCCGTGCGGTGCGATTTCGCGAGAAGAGATATGGACCACTGCGTACAGAGGAAGAAGGTCGGATCGTGGAGGTGGAAGATTTAGGGAGTCGGCTAATAGTGGACGGCAACTCGTACCCAAAGGAAAAAGATGAGGAATTTGGCGGTGTGGTATCCGTGTTTTTTTTTAAGGGCACGGCCCCCTATGGGGGGCTACCCAAGCGACACAAGCGAGTAGCTCAAAAAGTTAAGCCAGCGGCGGTGGGCTGCGAGCGATCTGCACTGGAAGGGATATCGGAAGAAGAGATCGCGAAAGAAATCAAAGAAAGAAAGAAGAATGAGCCACAACGCCTAACGGAAGAGAGGATAGCAGGGATGGGCATCGGAGATGGAAATCTGACCCCACAGGAGCGAGAACGTGTGATAGAAATTCTGAAGACATATGATAAGGCAATAGCTTTCAGCGACGCAGAGTGCGGTAGGATTGACCCTCGATACGCTAAGCAAGCGAGGATTTACACGATTCCACATGTTCCTTGGAATGACGCGGGATGAAAATACGCCCAGAAGGAGAAGGAATAAGTTATCGCCTTCCTGAAAGAAAAGATGGTTTCCCACGTTGCGGAGCCGTCTGATAGCGCTTATGCTAATGGATGGTTCTTCCTACGAAAGCCGAATGGCAAGATCCGATGGATCCAGGACCTTTAGAAGGTCAACGAGGTAACGATACGAGACGTGGGCTCCGTGCCACATGCCGATTTACTGGCAGAAGGCGCCGCAGGTAGGTCGATTTATTCGGTCTGTGATCTGTTCTCAGGTTATGATGAGGTACCGCTTGACCCTAGGGACAGGCACCTCACGGCTATGCATACGCCATTGGGACTAATACAGATGATGGTTGTCCCTATGGATTAGACTAATGGGGTAGCCGTTTTTCAGAGAGTCATGGTAGCCATCCTCAAGGACTTCATCCCTGATAAGGTTGAAGTTTTTCTGGATGACTTTCCTATAAAAGGGCCAGTAGACAGGGATGAGACAAAGGTTGTACCTGGAGTTAGGAGATTCGTCGAACAGCACCTAACAGATATTTGCGCGGTACTCGAGCAGCTGGACGATGCGAATTTAACAGTTAGCGGAACAAAGAGCCGATGGGCCGTCTCGACTATTAAGATCTTGGGCTTTATCTGTGACTCGAGAGGACGCCGAGCAGATCCGGCGAAGTTAGACAAACTTCTGAACTGACTGTCACCATTACATAGCCCAACCGAGGTCCGGCAGTTTCTAGGAGTGGTCGGTTACTGGCGTATATTCATATGGGGGTATGCGGAGAAGGCTGAGCCATTGAGGTTACTCCTTCGAAAGACTGAAAAATTCTACTAGGATTCTTCGCAGGAACTCGCTATGCAAGAATTTAAAGACGAATTTAAGGAGGGAGGACGCGTGTTGGGCATGCCATTCTTTGACGATGAGACCGAGAGACCCTTCATAGTATCCACGGATGCTGGACCATGTTCAGTAGGTGGTTTGCTGTCTCAGAAGAACGCTGGAGGGAGGGAAAGACCGTTAAGATTTGAGAGTATGACACTTAATATGGCTGAGCGTAACTACAGTCAATTCAAGAAGGATCTAGATACGTTCAGACACTATATCTATGGGCAACGGTTCATCTTGAGAGTAAACCCCACCGCGGTTGCCTCTGTCCTCCAGAAGGACTTTAGTCTTACGGACCCGACCATCGCCCGATGGTTAATACGGATTCGGCTATACGATTACACGGTTGAAAGGATATCTGGCACTTAAAATGTCGTGGCAGATGGACTTTCGCGCATCCCTCTTGAGGCCGAGCGCCCGATAGTAGTTGGGGCCCTGACTATGGCGGAGCCAGGACCCACCGAGCGTTTTCTGGTTAACCTTTATGAGGGCAAATACCGAATGATTGGGCTGCATTTGTCAGGAAAGGAGAGTCAAGAGTCAGATATCCGGAGACAAGCGGGCCAGTACTGCCTTAGAGTTGGCCATCTATTTCGAAGGCCGAGCGGCTCGGGGATGCCCTTACGAGTAGTCTGTGACCCTGAGGAGAGACAGATAATAGTTGCGGAGCTTCACGACGGGGTAGTCGGAGGACGCAGGGGAGTCAAAGGAACCTACAAAAAGGTACGCAAGTTGTACTGGTGGGAAGGACAGTATAAGGACGTCGAGAGCTATTGTAGGACCTGCGAAGAGTGCCAGAAGAGAGCTCTTGTGAAATACAAAGAGCCACTTCATCCATCCTATCGGACCAGACCAGGAGAGAAGGTACACATCGATCTAGTGAAAATGCCGAAAGGGGTAGGCAATATGAACTACGTCGTGAACATATGAGACGATTTCACTGGGTTCGTGGACGGTAGACCTATCAGGAGTAAGGTGGCAAAGGAAGTAAAGAACTTTGTCCTRGAGTACTTATCTAGGTATGGTTGTGTCAGCAAGATAGTAATGGACAGAGGGACCAAATTCTTAGCCGACGAGGTTCAGAGCGTGTTCAGGAGAGCTGGGGCGAGAGTTTCGATAGCCCCCGCCTATCACCCACAGTCGAACTCCCCAGTAGAGAGGGGACACCAGACTCTGATAGCGTCACTGTCCAAGTGGTGCAAGGGTAAGGACAGTGATTGGCCATGATATTTCCGATACGCAATATGGGCGGACAACGTCACGGTCCGGGCTAGTACCGGATACCCACCGTACACCTTGTGGTTTGGGCGACATTGTCCGCTTCCCATAGAGTTTCACGTCGACAGCTGGACAACCGTCGACTGGGCGGAGGAGATGTCCAGAGAGGAACTCTTAGCTGTCCGAACAAGACAGATAGCCTACGGTTTGGAAGATAACCTCATGACAGCGGCAGATCGTCTGGCGGTGAAAAGGGACAAGGGTAAAGAGAGATGGGATAAGAACGTGCGAATCAGGAAAGACAGGGTGAGCGTAGGAGATATGGTCCTTCTCTACGACGCGGCACTTGAGAGAACCTGGACCGGAAAACTCGCAAATAGATGGATGAGACCTTACAGAGTGGTTGAGGCACTCGACTGGGTGCATATATGATATCAGAATTGGATGGATCTAAGTGGAAGGACCCAGTGGCGGGCGCTAGGTTAAAGTTGTTTAGGTCCAGGCTCGAGCCCGCCTTATCCCTGACCAGCCCGAAAGGAAAAGGAAAAGCCATAATGGAGGAAGGAGCCCCCTTGAGGCAATTCGAGGCAGGGGAGAGTTCCAAGAAAAGGAAAAGAATAGAGAAGAGAAAGGTCAAAGGGTTAGCTTTAGGAAGAGAGAAGAGATGGTTATTCGTGCTCAAGCGAGCTAGACGGAGAGTTCGCGTTAGACGTACTGGCGGGTCGACACCCTTCTCGGGGCAAAGACAAAAGAAA